CGGAATATTTTATGCATTTATTCGAAGAGTTGACCTGGATACTAGGAAGCTATATATAATGCTATGGATCTGCATTATACATGTGATGCATTAGCGTATGTTGTGAAGAGGAGCAGAGATGATACCGATCCCTGTTTGATAGAGTGAAAGATTCGCGTCGTTTAGTCCTTAGGACTGGGTGCGGTTAGAGAAATAGTTGATTAACAAATTCTAGGTATTTGTATCAGTGCCAAGAGAGCAATGAATCAAAATAATGTCTTTATGGCCTAACATTACCACAAAAAATGACTCAAAAATAATTTCATCAAGCTATGTGGCAATGTTGGAGAGGTCTTAAATGGCCATTCATGGAGGTCGTACCTTCGTAGCATTTAAAAATCACTAGTAGATGCACTGCCGAATCTCAATGATGGGTTGAAAAAGCGGCCGTTCGCCCTCCAGCATGAAATGCTGACTCGAGCAGATTAAACGCTTGTTCAGCACAGCGATACTTGTTAACTAATAGGCACTGAAACATTTTTTATTGTTATCGAACCAGTGCTGATTAACAGGATCGCGATATAGGCTATTAAGCTTTACGACGTACAGCGGGTTTGTCCTGCTAATAGACATTGTAGACTGTGCGAGAAGTCGGCTTAAAACGAAAACCATTGGCTTCTACCTCTTCTTTGTGCCTATGATCATTATATTGCAAAAATTTATATCTAGAGGACTTGTAATGAGTAAAAATAGTTATAGGTTTTTTATTTAGTATAGTAACATAATTGTGCCAGCGAGCAATCTTCAAGTCGTCTTCGTACATCTGACCAAGACAAACAACGCACAATTCCTCCACGACCAGATTTTTTCGCGAATTGCAACGTGTCTTTGCTCTTGTCATGGAGGATCTATTCCATTTAATACACTACCGCGTTTTTAACATGTTTTCGTTTATGCAGCAGCATATAAATCGTTCTAGCTCCTGAAACTTTAATCGTAGCAAGTACAGAGTGGCTCTAACGAATAAAACGATGAGAGACGTATCGGACACTATGTGCTCAAATATTACTGGGTCATGGCCTTCTTAAATAGTCCTTCTTGGTAACTATGAGCAGTAATGCGTTGCAGTACACGCTGAAATCTCAACTTGGAGAATTTATGCGTTTTCACCTGTAATTTTCATTAATTGCATCATAATGGTTTATACGTTGTTATATATAGTATACTATTATCGTATAATTATATTGATTTTATTGGTATGTAATAGTTTTTAAACAAAATGCGTTACTTGAATTCCTTATGCGAGTATATTGTTTTTAAAACGATTTCTGTGCACAGGTACTTTTTGTGGAATTATTCTAGCGTTTCAGATTATACCGTTTCCATGTTCATGAAGCATCTCAGAAGCAGTTCATAAAATCAACTTGAACAACACTAGGAAGAAAGTTTACTGGAAGCTTAAGTGGGAAGAATGTAGTTTTCGAACGCAATTTTGTTTACCGGACTAGCTCAGATGTAGTTAGTATTGATAAGCTTCCATATGTTACTATTTTTTAAGTAAAAATTGTGATTTGCAATAGCCTATATTTATCTGTGTACTACAGTCTAAAATGCGTTGAGTATTATCCAACTTTTAGTTTGCTAACAAATTTTGGTAGCGTTCTGTTCCGTCGTAAGAATAACTGTCCCATGTCACTTTTCAGGATTTACACTGTGTAATCGCACCATCCACCTGCTTTAAAATGAGTCATTTTATATTACCTGCATATCCCATTGTCAACACGAATTTAAATTGCTTTATACATTTAAATCGCATATTTACAATA